ATGATGAGCACTGGCCATTTAAGAATAAATGGCACCATGGACCTGGCACCAACAAACCAACACTGGGTTTCCCCCAAGTGGGACACAGGCCCTGCCACCACCCTGGAGTGACACCCCACCAAATCGCAGCCAATGCTGCCAAGACCCCATGGCACAAAATGTGGCCCACAGCCCAGCTGGGTAATGACATCATGTAGCAACGCCCAGCTTCCTTTCCCTAGAGCAGTGGTTCTCAACCTCCTGGCCCTTTAAATACAGTTCCTCATGTTGTGACCCAACCATAAAATTATTTTCATTGCTACTTCATAACTGTAAAGTTGCTACTGTTATGAATCGTAATGTAAATATCTGATATGCAGGATGGTCTTAGGCGACCCCTGTGAAAGGGTCGTTCGACCGCCAAAGGGGTCACGACCCACAGGTTGAGAACAGCTGCCCTAGAGACTAGCCTCCTTGGAGTTTCTTCAGCCCAAGAACCTGACTTGCTTTATAGCCAGGTGCAAACATTTCACAGTTTAACCAAATGTCTGTGAAGGGTTTTCCCGTGCCTCATCTCATTTGATCCTTATAGAAGTCCTGGAGTAGGTAGATAGGAGACTCGGTAGAATCCTATTTTCTTTTCATTAGCCAGAAAACAGAGATTTAGAAAGTTTAGAAACTTGACCCAACTGAAAAGAAGTAAGAAATGGTGGACCTTGAAAATGACTTCAGGTTTTCTCACTGCACAGAATATAGTCAAACACTGCTGCAGTTAAATATTTTACCCTTTGTTCTCCCTGCATGATCTACAATAATAATCTGCTCCTTGTTGATATTTATTGCTGTGTTGCTGACAGTTACCTGAAAGAGAAGTTGGGGTGCTTCACTGGGCTGGAAAAAGTTTAGCTAAATCAGAAAGCAGGTCTAATTAAGCAAGTTTATTTATATATACAAAGCTCTCATTGGCGCCAATCACACGTGTGTGTTTTGAGTTGTCATTGTCGATCATGAATTTGGTTGACACTTCTATTATAAAGAAAGGGCAAATAGCGATATTAAAACATTTCTTCTAATTCATTTCCTTTCAATGTGCACGAATCCATGCACCGGGACACTAGTAAAGAAATAATTTCCCTGGAATAAGCAATTTGGGCCCATTTGGATAGGTTTTATTTTATTTTATTTTTTACCATTTTTAAGGCACTTACCATGTACCAGACACTATTTGAAGCTTAATACATGCAGACTCATTTTAACTGCACAACAACCTTCTGAAGTAGATAGGACTCCCCCATTTTACAAAAGAGAGAACTGAGGCACAGAAAGGTGAAGGACCTTGTGCAGCACTGCACAGCTAGTAAGAGGCACCGGCCGCCCGGAAGCAGAGCGCTTACTCTGAACTACTAGCCTATACATGTGAGAGAGAACTTATTCCCATAAGTGGAGCACATTAATTCTTTTAAAAGTTTTATCTTTGCCATATGTGACAATGAGACCTGGCTCCTAAAGTAACCTTCTAATGAACATGCACAGAGGTGGCACATTTGGGGCTATCTGCAGAATTAAGCCCAGCCCAGCTAGCATGGCATTCCAGACTTCTCTGGACAGCATCCCACACACTGTATGCATGCTCTCTCTGAAGCTGGTCTCCCGCCATGCCCTCAATATGCCTGCTTTATCCTGCTGCTGCTGCTTTGAATGTCTTTCTCTATATATCTTCTTTTCTTTTTAATTTAAAGAATTGATTTCAGAGAGGAAGGGAGAGGGAGAGAGAGATAGAAACATACTAGGAAACAATGAGAGAGAATCATTGATCGGCTGCCTCCTGCACACCCTACACTGGGGATCCAGCCCACAACCCAAACATATGCCCTAACCAGGAATCAAACTGTGACCTCCTGGTTCATAGGTCAATGCTCAACCACTGAGCAACACCGGCCAGGCTTTCTCTCTGTATCTCCTTAATCTCCAATTCTCTGACCATAAGCAGAAATAACTTCGCTCTCCTCTTTACTACCATCAGGCCTTGTCCCTGAACCACAAACTTGCCTCATTCTGCCTCCGAGTTTTGCACATATGTTCAAAATCCTCTCTTAAACTCTTGGTTTCTGGAGGCTGGGTATCTTGCCACACAGCAGTAATGCCCTCCAGAATAGGACCTCAAGAAATCTAATTGAATCAGGCAGTTCCTATTTCAAATGTCAACTGTTTGATTGACTCATTTCCTACTTGCTTCTGAGTGGCATGATCAGTCTATACATCTATTCTTGCAATATTACCAGTGAGATTTCATTTTGTCCTCATATTTTATACAGGGTTTTATTGTAGCTGACAGATCAATAATGCATGGTTAGATGCATAGGTCAGGCCTGGTCTCTGATTGAGAGGCTCCCTGTAGTCCTGTCTTTGAAGTAATGGAAGAGTTGGAACAGTCTGTTACTGCTGGCTGTCCCCTTGCCTGGTTACACAAACCCTCTGGGCCTCTCTCACAGGGCGTTTGTGAGGATTATTGAGATCAGGAATAGAAACCCCTGACATAATAGGAATGAGTGTTAACAGGCGCTGGGACTCTCTGTAGGTGATATGTGCACAACTTGTTCGATCCTTGTAACAGTCTTACATGGTAACTACTCATCTCCATTTTATAGTTTGGAAAATGGAGGTACAGAGAAGTTAAGTAGCACATCTAATGCTGCGCAGTGGGTGAGGAGCAGACCTTGCTTATGGACTCAGAACTGTCAACCCTAAAACTAAAACATTCTCCCTCTTTAGATAGTGGATGGAGAGAATGTATATGAGATATGACCTGAAACCATTGATGTCTCCAATTTACTTGGTTTCTCAAAAAGAAAAAAAAAAATCAGCAAATGAGTGTCTAATATACAGGGTGTCCCCCCAAAATGTATATACACTGTAACAGTTGATAGCTCAATTTTGAAAATCAAATGTATTTTAATAAACATTGCCTTTATAATTATTCAAAGTATATATATACATTTTTTAGTAGTAACCACGTAAGTCTGTTACAAGGATCAAACAAGTTGTGCACATAACACATACAGAGAGTCCCAACCCCTGTTAACACTCACCCTGTATTTAAGGAATGAACTGGATTCTTGCAAAGCCAATTCAAATCCTGATGTGAATACTGAGTTCCTTGTTTCTGACCTTAGACCTCTTTCAACACATCTTTCATTATAGTGAAAATCTAATTCCTAGCGAGTGACCATGCTTCACTACTTACTGCTGCAGGGACACTGTGGGCACTGGGCCTCACAGTTTGTGAGGGTGGAAGCCTGTGGCCTGTGTCACACAAACTTATGCTCTTCATTGCACTGACAGAAACCCCACATGACAACTTTATGAGTCCAAAAATGAGTGACTAGTCCTAGAATCTATACTAATAAAAGGGTAATATGCAAATTTGTCAGGACGCCCTCACACAATGACTCAACAGCAGGCTGTGTGGGGTGACCAGGCCAGCAGGCAGAGGCAGTTGGGTGACCAGGCTGTGGGGAGGGGGGGCAGTTAGGGGTGATCAGGCAGGCAGGCAGAGACCATTAGAAGCGATCAGGCAGGCAGGCAGGCAGGCAGGCAGGTGAACAGTTAGGAGCCAGCGGTCCCAGATTGTGAGAGGGTGCAGGCTGAGCTGAGGGAACCCCCCCCCCCCCCGCATGCACAAATTTCATGCACCGGGCCACTAGTATAAAATAACTGGAGATGCTGGTTTACCCTAAAAAAACTATGCAAACATAAAAAGTAAATTCCAGCCAAATTCTGGCAATTGTCTCTGACTCCATAAACAGAATGTCTTATTGACAAAAACTGTGCCTGGACCTCTCAAAGATGGTGCCGTGATATCTAAGGAACTAGGAGCTACAGAAGAAATGCCGGTAGATAGTAAATTTGGTAATGCCATCTTTGTTTGCACTAGCTAAGAGTTGGGAGGTATTTCTGCTTTTGGTTTCATTTTTAACAAATCTGTGACTTTGGTGTAGACCTGTGATCTTCAACCAGGGGTAACTTTTGTCTCCAGGAGATACCTTTGGTTGTCACCAGTGGGGAGGGTTGCTACTAACATCAAGAGGGCAGAGGCCAGGGATGTCGCTAAACATCTAACAATGCACAGAACAGCACCTACAACAGTGCCAAATGTAAAAAGCTCAAAATGTAAACAGTGCCAAGTCTGAGAGACCCTGGGGCAGCCCCATTTCAATTGTTCCATTCAATGATGAGAATGAATAACAGAGTGAAACTTGAACATCTTAAACATTTGCCCAAATGCTCGCTATATGCAAATATGTAGACCTTCAGAATTCTTTTTCAGTCCCCATCAGCATCGAGATTATACATGTCCTAGGACAGTGGTCGGCAAACTCATTAGTCAACAGAGCCAAATATCAACAGTACAGCGATTGAAATTTCTTTTGAGAGCCAAATTTTTTAAACTTAAACTATATAGGTAGGTACATTGTTATTAACTTAGAGTACTCCTAAGGCTTAGGAAGAGCCACACTCAAGGGGCCAAAGAGCCGCATGTGGCTCGAGAGCCGCAGTTTGCCGACCACTGTCCTAGGAAATAGGTGGGAAGGACAAAAACTCCAATGCACACTGTTTTGAGTTTCTCTCCCCCCACCCCCTGTTTTCATGTCTCTTCTAAGTACAGAGCTAATCAAAGCTTAAAGTGGAAGAATCCGGTTAAAATGGTGCATAAAATGCACTGTTCCAGGCTGTTACAATCAAGGAGGGAAAGAAAAGGACCAGCACCCAACTTCCTCCACTATAGGTGGCTGTGTGTATAATTCTTCAAGGCCAGACTATGGGCCTTCTTCCAATGTCCCATCATCCTGCCTTCTGCTCATAACAGCCTCCATCACAAAATGATATACTTTAAGAAAAAATTTTAAAAAGCATTTCCCTAAATTACATGTATAAAATTTGAAGCTAGGAAATGAAAAACTAATGGTTGTTAATGAGCTTCACCTAAAGTCCCTCAAATTTTAGACATGTATCACATTCGCTATTCACAAAAAACACATTTATTTTTAAATGTCATAGAAATGTAATAGTCACTTATGATAATTCCTCCTCTTGCCTGTACATTGGTGGTTTCTTTCTTTTCCTCCAGCTGGCTTCCCATTCATTCTTCCGGACATCCTGCTGTCTTCTGTAGAGAACCCAGAGAAAGTGAGAATATTGCCATCTCACGAGGCCCCAGAGCTCCATCCTCTTCCCCTTCCTTGTGGGGCAGGGACCTCATAAGGCGAGGTCCAACCTGGAGAAACAGGGGAGCAGAACTTTCTGGTTAGGAATATCTGAACAGCGCCCCTCAGCTGCTCCTCCAAAACCCACCGCTCCTGTATTCCTACTGAGAGTTCCTTTAAGAAGTGCCGCTGTCTGCTAACATACTCAGAAGCACTTCTGTTCGTTTTAATTAAGACCAGGAAGATCTGTCCCATGTTACTAAAGGAATTTTCAGCTCTCTGCATCTCTGTGTTAAAAACTTTAGCGCCAGGGAGCGGTGAGCGATGCCAGGGGCTAGGTTTCGGCTGGACGTTGAAATTCTGTGAACCTGCTCGACAATATTTCCCCCTCTCGGCCTCTGTAGCCGCCCGTGCACCAACAAAATAACTACCTCCATCCCCTGCGGTCAGCGGCAAGACTTCACCAGACCTGGCTGAGTCTGTGTCTTCCTGCCTTCGTAAGTCTCAGGAAGCAGTATTTCTGGATTTTTTTTAAAAAAAGGTACTGTTCGGCTCCAACATTTCCTCCCTCTGGTGACAGGAAAAAATGCCAGCTCTTCGCTTTCGCCCTGAGGAGGAGGATGCAGGGCTGCTGGGGCTTTGCTAATAAACGCGTAAAGGGTAAATGGCATGGTGATTACTGGCTTTCCCCCTTGCACGGAAAAATGAGATCACGATTTTCACGGACAGGAACTGCCGCCGCCGTGGAGGGAGGCCGCCGCCTCCCCTCCCTGCGCGGGTCCCGAGTGACATCACCGGTGAGCTCTGCTGCTCGGTGGCGAGGACTCAGCCCCGGACCAAGTAGGATAAACCGGGAATAACGGGGATACAGGGGGAGGAGGACTCGGGAAGAGTAGAAGACAAAAGCAAGACCAGGTTTCCCCCCAATGCCCTGAGTGTGGCTTCGAGGGGGAGGGGTGCTGCACGGGCGCCACATCCTTACGTGGCCGCACCCCAAATCCCGTTCCCGCACTGCCCCACCCTCCAGCCGCCCTCAACTCCCAATTCCAGCAAAAACCGATATCCGGAGCGGCGGGGAGAGCTGCCTTGACAGGCCCCAGGGGAATGGCAGAGAGACTTCCGGGCCTGGGAGGACCCAGGCACCCGCATCTGGGGGGAGTGGGGTGAAGGCGGTCGCCGCTGCGCCCCCGCCCGGCCCGGCCAGCGGCGCCTCCCCCACCCGGGGACAGTAGCCAGAGGGGGGCGGCCGAAGCGCCTCCTCCTCCTCGCCGGAGCCGACGCTGCGGCGGAGGGCGAGGAAGGCGCCTCACCTTGCCCCCGATGAGGGGCGGATCATGCCATGGCAGCGCCGGCGAGCGGCAGCGGCAGCGGCGGCGGCGGCGAGCGGAGCTCCACCGGCAGCCCCGGGAGCTCGGCCGGAGCCGGGGGCGCTGCGTCGGGAGCCGGGGACAGCAGGGACGCGGGCAGCCGCAGCGCAGCGGTGACGGTGCCCGGTCTCCCTCCGCTCGAGGACTACGAGTGCAAAATCTGCTACAACTACTTCGACGCGGACCGGCGCGCGCCCAAGCTGCTGGCGTGCCTGCACACCTTCTGCCAGGAGTGCCTGAGCCAGCTGCTGCTCCGCGCCGCCGCCGCCGCCGCCGCGCCCGAGCGCCCGCTGCGCCCGCCGTCCTGGCACGGCCCGCCCGGCGCCATCGCGTGTCCCGTGTGCCGCCACCGCACGCCCCTGCCCGACAGCCGCGTGCACGGCCTGCCCAGCAACACCAAACTCGCCGAGGCCTTCCCGCTGGCCCTGCGCGCCGCGCACGACCCGCTGCCCCAGGACCGCCTCCCGCCGTTGCCCACTCGCCGCCCAGCGCCCGCGGCGGGTCCGCCGCCCGCTCCGGCCCCGGCCCCCGCCCCGCCGCCGCCGCCCAGGGAGGACGCCGCCCGCGAGCCTCGTGCCCGCGCCGGCCTGCGCGCCTCGGGCGCCTACGAAAGCTGCCATAACTGCAAGCGCGCCGCGCTCACCGCGGGCTGCGTGTGCGTCGTCTTCTCCTTCCTCTCCATGGTGGTGCTGCTCTTCACCGGCCTCATCTTCGTCAACCACTACGGCGGTGGCGGCGCCGGGGAACCCCCCGGCGGCGGCGGGGCGCCGGCTGGCGCGGCCCAGGCTGCCGGGTCGCCCTCGCTCGTGGGGCCCATCTGCCTGTCGGTGGCCAGCATTCTGGCACTCTTCTCGGTTGTCGTCACTTGGCTCATCTGCTGGCTCAAGTACCGATCCCCCGAGGGCGCGGCCATGGGCTCGGCTGGGGGCGGCGGCCCGAGGACGCGGGCGGCGGCGGCGGCAGGCGGCGTGCGGGGGAGCGACACATAGTGGGGCAACTTGCCGGGTCTCTCGCCCGCACGCACCTGCAGTCCTGCAAGGCCCGAGAGGAGGGGGCCTTTGGCTCCGTGCGCTCGAGCTTCTCTGGCCTCCCCCCGTGGCCCCCGGACGCGCACCCCCTCGCAGCCCAGCCACTCCGGGGCTTCGGCTTTCCGCCTCTCGGGCTTTCCACGCCCCGCCTCCTCCGCGCTGGGCCGGAGAAATCGAGGAGGCGGGGATGCTCGTGGGGAGTCTATCTCCCCGACTATGCAAGATCAACCTCCTCTCCAGGCACCATCCCCATCCTCTCCAAAGTGCTCTGCCTCCCTTCCCAGAGTCGGAGGATTTGCAGAGAGGTGGAAAGGGGAGTGGGACCCCCGCCGCCCCGCCTGAACGCCGGTTCTCTGGCTGCCGCGACTTCAGTTTCTTTAAGGGTGCAGGTGCGCGCACACGCGGCTGCAGCAGTTGTGAATGCGAATTGTCCGGTGGAAGACGGAATGAGATGCAAACAGAGAAAGGTTTCCCTGCGTTCTGGCGGTCCTGGAAAGCGAGTGAGCCGGAACGCCCAGAGTGGTGTTTACTCCCCGAGGGCACCGCGCGGGCTGGAGCGAGGCGGCCGGGCGCTCCTACAGCCTTCAGCTGTGCGCGCTGCGACAGGTGCACAGCGCGCGTGCGCGCTCCGGGGTGCGGGCGGCCGCGCAGAGCGCTCCAGGCGGAGGATCTTGCTACCCGGGTCCCGCAGAGACCCAAAAGTCTTGGAAACTGGGCTCCTGGAAACTTGTGGTGGTTTTATTCGCGGCGTTACTACCAGGAAGTAATTTCCTCCTCTGTAACTGGACTCAGGGAAATTCAAGAGCCTGTTCTCCATCTCATCTCAAAACTGACTGACTGTTGCCCCCACCTGGAAGATATTGAAAGCTATTCACGCAGAAAATAAACTGCAGGCTTCCCTCGCCCTTTTTCTTAATTTCATTTAAAAATATAATTTATTTAAGAATATATGGATCTAGAAATTTTGTGCGATAAATTTTCAGAAAAGATGTTTGATGAGCAGCAACATTTCTTCCATACCTCCAGTCCAAATACATTTCGGAATTATCAGAAAAAAAGGCGTGTTGGTAACTGATTCCAGATTTTGTACTGTGAAACTACTAATGACTTTCAACTATCTGATCAAATAGAAATAGTGCCCAAAGACTAAACTGACAAGTCTTTCTTCCTTCGATTACAAATGTATATTACACTTAACAGAAAAATATTTTGAATTTAGCTATTTGATATAGGAAATTACTGAAATGTTCACATCCAGTCATATTAAATAAAAAAGAATACATATCTGTCTGATTTTGTAACTAAAAAGATGAATTTCAATGTGTGTTGCAGGTAGATCCAAAGCCTTTTTAAGGTAAAAAAAAAAACAACAACTGTTCCAGGTGTATTTTATATGAAAACATTATTTATTCCATCTTTTGAGATTTGGAATAAGTCAAAGTTTTCATACCTAAGCATCACAGAAACTACTGAGGATATACTGTTATTCCTCATGTATTTATGCAAGCTGTCTGCATGATATTCCTACACTATTCTAGTACCTGAACCTGAATGAACATTTGTATCTATCATAGAAAGCAGTCATTTACTGGTCATTGATAAGTGATATGGCTGTGGTTTAGGAATTGCAAAATGATGTGTTCTATGTCTGCATTGTCTTAATTAAAACAAGCATTTATAGAAAAAAACTATTTTCATGAAAATTATTTCATGAGGAAATTGCTTCAAGTTATTTGTGTGCCCTTCTCCTCCTGAAATACACAATCCCATGAAATGCCCACCCTAGCAATGTACATTCCCACATGTGAGTTAATTCTCTACCAGTTCCATTCATAATGTGAATTTAGGATTTGGGATTGTTTCTAAGGTTTTTAACAGGACTTCTGAAGGTCCAGTGAGGTCTATTTTGGAGGGAAAAGTTGCTTCCATTCATTACTATATAAGATTTTTGTTCTCAATTTCTGCATAATATTTTTAGGTTCCTAATACTAAGGATTACATTTCAGAGAGTGGTATTAATTTATACTTTTAACAAGTAACATGTGTTACTTCTATATTAGTTTTTATCTTTTATCCAGGTGCTCAGATTCTGTTTATATTCGCAACGGTTTAGTTTTACAAGTGCATATACACATGTGTATGTATGTATGTCTATATACACTAGCAACAGCACATGGCTTTGTGGATGTGACCATGTATACACATATGCACACACATTTATTATTTCATTCCCTCAATTTAGCAACCTGGAAGTCTGTCTAAAGTTACTTGGAGACTAGTTTGCATATATATATATATTATTGATTTCAAAGAGGAAGGAAGAGGGAGAGAGAGAGATAGAAACATTAGTGATGAGAGAGAATTATTGATCTGCTGCCTTCTGCACACCCCACACTGGGGATCAAGCCTACAACCCAGGCATGTGCCCTGACCAGAACTGAACTGTGACTTCCTGGTTCAAAGGTCCCTGCTCAACCATTGAGTCATGCCAGCCAGGCCCAACTTGCTTCTTTTAGAGTATATTTATGTTCCACAGAGGAGGGTTCATCAATGACATAAATTAAATAATTCCTCATAAATAAGAAATGCATTTTTAAATCATCTTAGTCACAATGCAAGCAACATTTTGCTTCTTTCATGGTTGCACATATAAATTTCTTGTAATGAGAAATTTGAGGTAGGATACTTTAAAATCAAGCAGATATGATTACTAGCCCCGCACCTAAACATGGAGTGATTCTTTTTCTTGGCTGACCTTGTTTTATTGTTCATTTCTGACTTTTAAGGAATCAAGTGGCATGGCATGATAGAAAACATTTGTTTGGTTTCTAGTGATTTTCTGATATTCTGATGTTCCCCTGTTCTGCAGCTGTGATTTAAGTATTTCAGCCTACATCATGCAGAAACTCCTGCACACGGGTATCTTAGAGCAAGTGTTTAGGAAGTAATTGTTGAAATGATCAATGAATTGTCCAAAAGCCTCCTGGTGGCAGTGAGGTACATTTTCCCCTTCCCATTGGAATTCTCATCTTCTTGGAAGAGCTTGGTTCATTCCTGGACTCATCTCCAGCTCATGAGTGTAAACTACAGGTCAAGTCGCTGCAAAAAACCAGACCTGCTCAGCCTGCACACTTGCTCAAGAACCATGGTACGCACGGTCCAGATTCTGCCTACGTTCTGGGTTGCAGTTTAGGATTATTATCATGCTTCTATAGAGTTTACATTTCAAGTGACAACAGCTCATCTTGTAGGTGATGAATTAAATACTTGGCCTCTGAATGCAATATGATCTGGGGAACAATGTCCACACCCAGAAAGAACATTGGGTTTGGGGTCTAAAGACCAGTAACTGCATCCAGAAAATGTGAGTCTGAGTACTAATCTCTCCTTTCTTTGAGCCTCAAAGTCCTCATCTATAAAATGGGAATAGAAAGTATCAGTCCTGCTTACCTTGTGGGGTTTGTTTAAGGATTTCTACACACAAGAGAGTGTATAGATGAACTGCTTTAGAAACTACAGCCTTATGTGGATCTGTGGTCTTGTTTTCATTCAGGTCTCCAAGGGTCTAATAAATATCACTTTCCCGGAGAGGTTTGCTCTGACCACTCTATCCCAAATGTCTACCCATTGAAGTTTTATTTTCTTTCTAACATAACCATCTGTAGGGTTTTGTGTATTTGTTACATTCTTTATCTCAATCTCCTACAACCAAAATGTAAAAACAAGTAAGGAACACTGTCTGCTCACCCACTCTATTCACAAAGCCTTAGCCAGTTCTCAGCACATAGTACGGGGCCCATAAATATTTGGTTGAGTTGGATGAATGGGAAGCTCTCCACTGACTCTTCAACAACTTGGCTCCCCTCACTCATACTGTCACTCACTACATCCTGAGACCCTGGGTGACTTAACTGCTTTTTCCTACTTCATGAGGATTTGTGAAAGGTGAAAAAATATACCTGAAAAGCCCTTTGAGTTTTGAGAAAAGTCATTATTACCATGGTGAAACTTTTATTGCATTATATTCAGTGTCAGGAGCCACTGGAGAGTTTAAAGGACAGTTGACCTCTATTTCCTGCATTGTGAGATTTCAAGGTATGACTCCTTTTAGCTTCCTGCATATATGAGCATGTCTGCACCATCCTCTCCAAAACTAACAGCATCTGCATAGTCAGAACAAGCTTATATTGCAGTGAAATTTTTCACAATATAGAAAACAAGATATTTTACATTATTTGTTACTCTCCATATTAATTCTTCAACCTCTGTCATTTAAAATAAATTATCCTTCACAGAGTTGCTAAATTTACAAACTCAATAACAGAATAATCCCCCATTATTCTATGACCCAACTAATATCCTTTTAAATCAGCTAATATTTGTATTTTAAATTTATGCTATGATACCAAGATTAAATTTATGTCATAGGTAATGAATTGCACCCCTGCTAAGTATGCATTTACATTTCTTCCTTTGACATAATGTTTTTATTGTATATGTTAGTGTAAATTTGGTGAATATATAATATTTACTACAGTAACCATTTTTGAAAAGTGTTAGAAATAACTGGAGCCAGATCTCAGTTCGAAATTATGTGAATAAGGAAAATGTGAGAGAGATTTCAACTATCTTTTGTTTGATCTCATTTGATTGTCCATATTTAAAAGCTTTGTAATAGTTACTATCCATAAAAAATTTAAGGCTCTTGTTCTGTTATGCAAAACTAAAATATGCCAAAGAGAAGCAAATTTGTTTCCATGATAAATTTGTAATTATTCCTGATGATAAGATACATTTTGGGAAGTGAAGGTGGTCAATGTCCAGCTTCCAAGAATATTCCTAGGAGCTCAAGAAGAATGTGTACACTCCCTTTAGAAAAAAAAAGTCTTTTCAGGTAAAACTGGATTATCTTTGGTTTAGAAATACCGAATCTCCATGGGATGGAAGTGGGAGGGTATTGAAGTGGGGGAAAAAGAGGATAGAGAAAATATGCAACAAAGTCGTCCTCGATCCTAGTATTATAAAACCACATCACCAAATAAACAGAAGAGACAGTGTCTAATCCATACAAGGACAGAATATGTTTATTTCAACAACCATGGTAATATATGGTGGGCTCTTACACCATGACAATGAGTACTCTCCACCATATAGAAATATGACTTATATTCTACTGTGGGTGCATTTTTTAAAAATTGTAGTCAAACTTGACAGGTAGGGAGCAATTGTACCTGACTTCAGTTTTGGGGAAGGATTAATTCCAAACGAGAAGTAGACAGTTATTAATTGGGAAGAAAATTTTTGGACCGAGCTCTGCAACGCAAACGATTTGTCCATAGAGCCCATAGCTTACGTAATCCAGACACAGACAACTTATTTCCTGATGCGAGCCTTAGCGGAAGTTCTCAACCCTGGCAGGCCGCAGGTTAAAACTACCTGGAGCACTTAAAAAAACAACCTCGGACTTAGCGGGTTTGGCTCGGTGGATAGAGCGTCCGCCTGCGGACTGAAGGGTCCCAGGTTCGATTTCGGTCAAGGGCACATGCCTGGGTTGTGGGCTCGAT